ATGCTCCCTGAGTCTCATCTTGACATAGGCGTTATGTGGTATGAGCTCCTTTAATATATTTCATCTTAATGTGATAAAATTGTAAAATGCTTGGGCGATAAATGCTCATTTCTTACGAGTACCTTTATGTTACTCACCTTGAAGTTACTGTGGATATTTTTCAGGTACAAGAATCAAGGTTGAGATTCTCATTATGCTTGGATGATTTATGGACTTGTAGGTTTCCATTCTTGTAAAGGTTGGTTAGAAATGCCACTTGTAATCTTATATGTCAAATGTGTATATTTGATTCTAAATGTGTAATGTGTACATAAGTACACTCTTTGTAATATATTTGACATGTATGAGATGAGGCCGAAGGCCAATGACAACTAGTTTGTATCCTATATAACTTTCAACTTCATGAAATGTTATGAAAATATTGAAAAATGACAATTCATTGCTTCATCATGTTTGCATCGGATGTGGGAATTCCATTTTTATTCTTTCATAGGGTCTCATTAATCATGTGTGAAGTGTGGCCAATGGCCAAATGGTAATTTGAAATCATTTGTTAATTTTAGTTTTCAAATTTTTCATTTCTTGTTCATTTTTGCCTTTTTAGCCATTAGGGGGTCGGATTTTGCATCGGCGGTATTTTTAAGCTGTGGACCATTGTAACATGTCCTAATAGGTAAGTTACATTTGCGTGCATTATCTTTTTCAAGAAAAATTTCTTTGGTGAAATGAGCCTCCCATGGACTCATTTTGCATTATCTGGTTTAGGGGCATTTTGGGGTTTTTCTTCAGAAAATAAATTTTGTTCTTCACATGGTCACTTAGAAAACATGATTTTAGGGGGGGTTTCTACTTTATGTTTTTTAAGAAAATGTTGTCTTGGTACCAAAAATCCCTCGTGAAGTTCAGCTTTCAGTTTTGCATTTTAGTGGCTTTTTGACCCTCATGTCTTAATTTTATGGAGGGGCATTTTGGACATTTTACAGCTAGTGTTTTACATTTTCTTCCACATATTTGAGTAGAAAACTCGATTTTGAGATGGGTTTCTTCTTTGTATTTTTCTAAAAAATGTCATCTTGGCCCTCCAAAACCCATTTATTTTCGGAAAGCCCCTGCTGTCAGGTTTTTGTCGACTTTTAGTACAAGTGTACGGGTGGTGGATTCTCGTAGCCGGTTACTAGAGCTTGGGCAGTGTTGTGGTCATTCTATTTTGCTTTCTAACCGGTTAGGAAAGCTTTGTAACCGGTTAGATGGTCTTAAGTTGACTATTTTGACCTTTTCACCCATTTTTCTTCCGTTAGCCATATCTTCTTCGTCCGGACTCCGAATCAAGTAATTCTTGAGTCTAAGTTTATTAATTTTTTGTTGTCTTTCCAATGGTGTGCTTGGCAGCACCCACTTTCATTTTAAAAATGACCATTTTTTCACTAGGTTCATTCTTTTCTGTTTTTAAAATGTCATTTCCGCATTTGTTTTCTTTGGGTTCCGTGACCTCATTGAGGGTTACATTGGTGTCTTAGAGACGTATTGTATCTCTAGAGACCATTGTTTTGTCTTTTGCTTCTGCATTCTGGATTCATTATCGGATCTATGTTCGGTTCATCACAGGACGCATTGGTCTAAAAACCAGGGCCGTCACATCCACTTTTCTCTTTCTTCTAACCCTAATATGTTCTTCTTTTTCTTTTTCTTTTTCTTTTTCTTTTTCTGCCTCTTTTCCAGAGAGAACGTGATATAAAAAACTATTACAAAAACTAAATTAATGAATAAAATTTATTCCCAACTAATGGGTCTGGTTTTTCCTTTAGTATAAACCCTATTGGAGGCTAATAGTTCACAAAATAAGCCCAAACAAGAAAATCCTGTAGCCAACTAAATAGATAAATCCCGCAATATTGCTAGGGGCTGGGGGATCGATCCCCCAAGGGTAATTTTTCACACCTTTCTGCCAATAGTGGGGCATCGATCCCTCACTCTGGGGGATCGATCCCCCAGCGCTAGAATTTCTTTTAAGCCCTGTTTAACTCCATTTTGGCCCTGGGCTAATTGGTTTGCTTCTTAATCGTTGGGAACGTCATCAAAGGCCCGAAAAAAGGTAAAATTGATAATTTTTGAAGGATAAGAACACTATACAAATAATGGGCTGCGGCCTCTTTTTGCCATTTTCTAAACTTTTTCCGACTGTCTTTGCTTAACTCTAAAAATGCTTTAATGAACCGAAATTGGTCCGTTTAAACCTTATTGACCTGAAATTGACAAAAACATAAGTTTGAACTAAAATATGAAAGTAAGATAGATGCAAGGACTAAAATACCCTAACTTAGGTGCTGAAATGTGCAAGATTTAATCACTTATCACATGAGCCAGAAGTATTATTGTCTGAGAGGTCTGCTCTTGCCACACAACAATGGAACAAGTCCAATCCTCCAAAAGGAGAGAAATAAGATGAAAAATGCAAGTTGAGGTATGATCATTGTGGGCGTACACTCACACAAGGGAAACATACTGGAATTTACAGGGTCACCCCACTCCAGCTTTTGCTAATGCAAATGCTAGGCTAAGGCCTGGTCCATTTAGGAGGTTATCTATGGCACATACTGCAGAGCTTGAGACTGCTTCTACTCGTCATACCTTCTCAGGGCTACCGAGTTCTTTGTCCGTGGCTAAACTTGATGCTCCCCAACATCTACTAGCATAACATTCCTCTATTTCCACCTCTAACTTCTCTCGGACAAGTACCTCTCATTCAGCACATCATTGATTCAGGAGCCACTGCACACAGGACTGGTATGTCATCTGATTTTTCTTCATACAGTTTATGTTCTAGTAAGGATAAGGTTAGAGTGGCTGATGGCACTTTCACCTTCATTCCGGGGAAGGGCGTTGTTTCTGCCTCTCCTATTCTTACCTTATCCTTTGTTTTTTATGTCCCAAAGTTTACCAATTACCTCATTTCTGTTAGTCACATTACAAAGGCTTGAATTGTAGTGTAACCTATTTTCCATCTCACTGTGTATTTCAGGACTTAGACATGGGGAAGACAAATGGAAGTGGACGTGAGGACAATGGCTTGTATTTGATGAACGCGAGGCCAACTTCTTATTATGTTGCAAATCAATCTAGTGTTAGGAATAGTAATGTTAATAAAGATCTGTTAATGCGATGGCATAATAGACTATGTCGTTTACCACTTCCTGTTTTGAAGCACGTGTTTCCCCACTTTGGTTCTATTGAATCTTTTGAGTTAAATTGTGAAACATGTGTTCTTGCCAAACAATGTCATGTTTCTTATCCTACTAGTATTAATAAAAGTACAGCTCCTTTGTAGCTTGTTCATTATGATGTGTGGGGTCCTGAATCTACTACTTTGTTACTTGGTTTTCGTTACTGTATTATGTTTATTGATGACTTTAGTCGATATACTTGGATTTATCTTATGAAAACCAAAGATGAAGTTTATTTCATTTTTAAAACCTTTCATAGGATGGCATGTACTCAGTTTGGTTGTCCCTTCAAAATCCTTTAATATGATAATGGAAGAGAGTTTATGTATGGTGATCTTACCTCTATCATACCTCTTGTGTCGATACACCACAACAGAACAGTGTAGCTGAAAGAAAACACTGTTATATTATGGAGGTGACCCATTCCCTTCTAATTGGGATGGGAGTGCCTAAAAGTTATTGGTTTGAACATACCTTATCAATAATCGCATGCTTTCTAAGGTTCATTGCTATCAACCCCCTTCTCTATCTTACACCATGACATTGCCTTGTTTACTGTCCCTCCAAAAGTGTACGGTTGTGTTTGTTATGTTCACATTCATTATCACAAGGACAAAATGGACCCTAAAGCAATCCGATGTGTCTTTCTTGGATACTCCGTCACTCAGAAAGGGTATCGGTGTTATAACCCTACCACTCGTTGTCATTTTGTCTCCATGGATGTTACATTCCTTGAGTCTGTTCCTTTTTTTTCCACTACTCGAGATTCTCTATAGGGGGAGACTACTATACAGGCAAGGAATCCATTGTCCATTTAGAGGGAATGCCCCCTTCCTTTGCTTTTTTAGTACTCCTAACACAAATTATTTACAGTAAGGAAAGCAGCCAATTGTCTACACTATAAGGGAAAAACAAGTTATTGACTCACCCTAGGACCAAGAAGTCTCCCTCAATCAGGTAATTCATTAGTTAACATTGATAATCTTGATTCTTTTCCCAATAGCATTCATGTTGATCTTGATGTCCCTACTGCCTATTGTGAGGGTGTTCCTAGTTGTTCAAAACATCCTATATCTCGGCTTGTATCCTATGATGCCTTATCTCTAACATATCTTGCTTTCACTTCGTGTATCTCCTTTGTATTTGTTCTTTCTAGTGTTTCAGATGCTCTCAGTCAAACTTTATAGAAGAAAGCTATGCTTGAAGAAATGAAGGCCCTTGAGAAGAATGGTACTTGGGATATTGTTCCATACCTAGGGGTAAGAACTAGTAGGCTGCAAATGGGTCTACATAATAAAGTATCATGCAGATGGAAAAATTGAGAGATATAAAGCTCAGTTAGTTGCAAAGGGCTTCACTCTGCAAACTTATGGAATTGATTATCTAGAAACATTTGCTCCAGTTACCAAGATGAACCCTATACATTTTCTTCTTTCTTTGGCAGCTAATTTAAATTGGCCTTTACATCAATTGGATGTAAATAATGCTTTTCTTCATGGTGATTTGGAGGAAGGGGTGTATATGACTATGCCACCAGGGTTTAAGCTTGCAAATGGTTAGAATTTAGTGTGTAAGCTAAATAAAGCCTTATATGGGATAAAGCAGTCACCACATGCTTGGTTTGAGAGGTTCAGTATTGCTCTGAAAAGAGTAGGGTACACACAAAGTCAGACAGATCATACTCTCTTCATCAAGAAGCACCAGGGCTGCACCACTACCCTTATTGTATATGTTGATGATATTGTTATCATTGTAAATGATCCAGAAGAGATTCGTTGAATGAAGTCATTCTTGGGGACAGACTTCGAGGTTAAAGACCTCGGATCATTGAGATACTTTCTTAGCATCGAGGTGTGCAGATCGAAGAAAGGGGTATTCATTTCTCAATGGAAGTTTGTGTTAGATTTGTTGGCTGAAACAGGTAGGCTTGGAGCTAAACCTATTAATATTCACATTGAGCAAAACTATAGGCTTAATGATGTAGATAGAGACCCATTAGATGATGTGGGAAGATTTCAAAGATTGGTTAGGAGACTGATTTACTTATCTCTCACGTTCCCGGATATTGCCTACGCTATTAGTATGATTAGTCGGTTTCTGCTTACTCCATGTACACCTCACCTTGAGGCAGCTCATCATGTTCTTCGCCACCTCAAGGGTTCACCTGGTAAGGGGATATTGTTTGACAGTTATGGTCACTTGCGTGTTAAAGCCTATACTGATGCTGATTGGACACGGTCTGTGACAAATCGACGATCTACTTCAAGATATTGCACATTTGCTGAAGGTAATCTTGTTTTATGGTGAAGCAAGAAATAGTCTGTAGTAGCTAGATCTAGTGCAAAAGCTAAGTTCAGATTCATGTCACGTTGAGTTTGTTAGTTGTTATGGCTACATACGATGTTGGGTGAGTTGGATTATCCTATTCATGAGTCAATGAAATTGTATTGTGATAACAAGGCTACAATTAACGTTGCCCACAAAATAGTTCAACATGACAGGACAAAGCATATTGAAGTCGATCGACACTTCATCAAGGAAAAGCTTTGTCTTAGGCTGATTTATACTCCATACGTCAATACACATGATCAAGTTGTTCATATTTTGATTAAAGGTGTGAGCAAGACTTGCTTGCAAAATATGTTAGTCAAGCTAGGAATGATAGATATCTTTGCACCAGCTTGAGGGGAAGTGTTGTCAGGAGCTTATTTTTTTTTACTTATATAATGTTGGGTCTTTTATGTAATTTCTAAAACTTGTTATTATAAATAGAATGTGGTGGAAGGATGAAAGTATTCTTTAATTATTTCTATCTTTTCCCATCTATCTCTTTTTCTCTCATTTGTTTTCTTTTCTTATTCTTTTTCTTCTTTATCACTTATTCTTGATTATATCTTAATGTCAACAGACATAACATGGAAAGAAAAAAGAAAAAAGAAAAAAAAAAGTGATTAAAGGAGGAAAATTTTATATTTTTAAGGAAATTAAAAGAATTTAAACAGATATAGCAAAAGAGGAAAAATAAAATAAAATAAAAAATAAAATAAAAAGAGATAATTTTAGAAACTCAAATAATTTTAGGGGAAGTTATATATAATTTTTCATATTTATGTAAAGAAATAGAAAAAATATATATACTATATATATTATAGTGGGCAGGGTCTGGCCAGGGGGAGCACGCGCCCCTTCTGGGCATACGCTACGCCAATGTTCCTGCATATGTCCATGCTCTAAGTCTATCTCTTATTTTTGTTGGAAACTAGTTTTGTACTATTCTGTTCAAGCAAATTTTGGATCAAAATAAAAAGTGGGTCCCACAATTATTTTATGGTGGGTCCATGTTGGAACGTGTTTGACTTAGAACTTATTGTCGAAGCTCATATGACACATTGAACCGTCAAAGAGCCAAACAGGCATGCTGACAGATTTTCTGCGTCAATCCCAAAGTGTTCGTTTTTGACCTGAAAGGAAATTTTTTTTTTTTTTTTTTAACTGGAAATGGCCCAATGAGAAAAACTCACTGCTATGATGTGATGTACACCATTTTTCGACTGAATTCCGTCGTCTAAGGCCTCAAAATGGGGTTTTTCTATCGTATAAGAGAGCCTGCATGCTGATTATTTTAGGATTTTTGTTCATTTCCAAACGAACTCGGATTGCTCTCAATTTTTATATTTAGTAGTTTTTATTCATTAGTTCTCTTACTCTATTTTTTAAGAAACTTTTTTTTTAGGCTTTTGTTTTAGTATTTGTTTCCTTTTGAGATTAGGTTTCCTGTTGTAGTTAGTTTCCTTATGATTTATGGCTTTCTTTCATTATAAATATATGTAATGTAAAGAGTGTAATCATTAATTCAATTATCAATGCAATATCATATTTTTTTATGAATTTATCTCTCAACTTTGTGGATTTAAAGTTGTTTATCATTCCTTGTAAATAATCATAGCTTTTGTTTACGACAGATTGTATCAGAGCTTGTTTTTTCCTGGTCTAATGGTAGATGATCGTGGTGATGGCAATCTTGCTGGCGGTGAAGATCGACAGGGAGAGACTCTTTCGAGGGCCAAATTTTAGGGCTTCTGACACACAACCAAGCAGATGTTGCAAGATATATAAGTAACCCTTGCTAGTCTCATGGTGGGTTCGAATCAGAATCACAATAACAACATGTTGTATAACGTTGACGAAGATCGGATTCATCCTGTTTAGGATCCTAACCCTATCCCGTCGAGTAGGTAGCTAGCATACGAGGAAGACTTTAGTGATAATGAATTCTATGTTCAAAAGGTACTTGTGGGACATAAAGGTGAAAGAAGATATCGGGATCAAGAAGATCGTGGCTCTAAGAAGTTTTATATGAAGATGGATCTTTCTAGATTTAATGGCCAGTTTAATATAGAAGAAATCTTGGACTGGATAATAGAAGTTAAGAGATTCTTTGATTACATGCATATCCAAGAAGATAAGAAAGTGAAACCAGTGGCGTACATGCTTAAGGGAGGAGCTTCTGCGTGGTGGGAACAATTATAGGTTTCTCGTGCATGGCTAAGGAAGACACCAGTATGCTCCTGGAAAAAGATAAAACATTTCATAAAAACCAAATTCTTGCCTCCAGATTAGGAACAAACCATATTCCAGAAGTATGAGGATTGCAAGCAAGGAAGTAGAACATTCTAGGCTTATACGGAGGAATTTATTCGGTTGACATCTCGAAACGATATGATGGAAACTGAGATGCAGTGCGTTGCTCATTTTATGATCGGGCTACGGTTTGCCATTCAAGATAGGGTGTCAATGCAAATGATTTGCACTATGGAGGAAACCATGAATGTAGTGATAAAGGAAGAAGCGTTCTTAAAAAGGGGGAAATCAAATGCTTGCTCCAAAAGTCACTTAGAATCGATATGCTCTACAATGAACAAACAAAAACAACCATGAATCATCAGCCTTTTGTTACAGCAATACATGATTCAGGTAGCACCAATACACAGTTAAAGAATGCCAAAAAAACTTCCATAGCAGGTTAGGATGCACCCAAAAATAATCCCTATAATTAGCCAAACCCCATTAAGAAATTTAGAGATTCAATGGCTTGTTCTCTCTTCAGTGTGCTATCTTTATTACAGAGTTGAGGATTTTTTTACTCACTTGTTTCTCAGGTCAGTTTGCTCAAGGAATTTGGAGATGGCCAAGGGCGGAGCCAGTGTATGCCCAAGGGGCACGTAACCCCCCCCCCCCCCCCCCCCCGGCCCCAGCCTGGCCCCACTTACTAATACATATACTAAATTTATGTATTTATATATGTATATCTAAAAAAATTCATATAATTGCCCCCCTAAAATTTTTATTTTCTAAAATGATCTGATAAATTTTGTATGTCTTCTCTTTGTTAGTCTTGAAATTCGTTTAATTTCCTTAAAAAAAAGTCAAATTTTCCTTTTTGAATCAAAATCTAATTTTTTTTTTTTTTTTTCCCTTTCAAAGTTCTCTCATTTTTCTTTCCTTTTTAAAATTTTTGTTCACTATTTATCTTTTTTAAATGCCTCATTGACATATTATTTTGAGTATTTTTTCTTCTTTGCCTCTTAATTTGAATAATCTATATTTATTTTCATGTTTGTTGATATTTTTTTTTTTTTGTTACACTGTGCCCCCCCCTAGATTAAATTTCTGGCTCCGCCCTTGGAGATGGCTTGATGATCTCCTAAATTAACATATGCCAGATTTTGATAACCTCCAGATCTTGACAATATGGTTTTTAAACAGTTTTAATTGTAGTTGAGTTAGACATAAATTGACTAAAAGGTTCTTTTCTATTTCTCTCTAGCATATATGGGCTGAGAGGAATTTAAGACTACATGGTGATGTCCCTAGATCTATTAAGGAGGTGGCCGAGTTGATTTGGTGGGAGGCAGTGACCATTTCTGGCCTGAGAATGAAGACATAGTGCTACTAAGTTAGCAACCTTTGATGTGGATTACTTTGCACTTTGGAGCTGTTTATTTTGTACTTCTTTAATGATTTTATTCCCCTTTCATGTATGCTCTTGGTTTTAACGAAGTTCTTTGTTCTGGCTTCTGTTTTGCAAGCTTTGTAAATAGGGGTATTCCCTTGTCCTTTTCATTGTACATTACTATTCATATTAATATATATATCTACTTACCCAGAAAAAATTTAAAACTAAACATTTCAAGCTGTTACTTGGGCATTGCCTGTTTGCAACTCCCAAAACAGTTTTATGTTTTGGGAGTGACAAAAAAAGTAAAATTCTGTTTTAGATGTACTTGGATGTGTTTTGCAAAAATAGGTTTTCAGAAACAGAGTTAAAGAGTTGTGCTTTTCAGAGAAACTACAAATTGTAGTTCTTAGAATTTATTTTGAAAAAACTTGCTTCCTCTTTTAAATACATGGAGAACATATCTTTAATAAAACAAAAACACGGAGCTTACTATGTTATTTATAAAGTAAGTTGTGCAACCGTACTTTATGTCCTTTCTTAGACAAGACTAAAGGGAAGATTAAAGGAAGGAACCACGTAAGGTTAATTGGTAAATCATAAGGGATGGATATGATAAAATTGTTGAGTAATATTTTAATAAAATTAATAAATATATTAATATACATTATATTAAATACTATTTAATATAATGGTTTATTATATTTATATTGATTAAATAATTATATTTAAATTCTATATTTATGTTGTTATAACTGTTACACTATAAAAAGGTTATATGTTTATCATTCTAAAGATCGAAGTATGAATACATATATCTAGTGTGAGTGAGACTCTAAAAGAATAATTTTTCATCTCTCTATTATACTCTTCCATATATGTATATGTGTATACTGTATTTGAGAGTATTTTACTTATTGAGTTTGTGAGCAACTAGACACATATAGACTTGAACCTAGTCTTCCTGTATTCGTGCACATGGAGGAGAAAACTGCGAGCTAATTGGGTTATATCTTGGAGCTAACTAGTTTCGCCAATACCTGTACGAAGGGGAGAACTATTAGCTTTAGACTGTTGTAACTTCTAGCGGCATAAAAATGCCATTCATTTCTTTCTCATTATGTGCTCTTGAATGCTTATTGAATTATGGCAGTTACAATAGGCACAAATATACATATATATTGTTGGAATTTTATTTTGCACGTGGTGGGCAGTAAATTGTTAAATGATTTATGATTGAATAATTGACAATGTAACTAACTGGTATTAATATTGTTTTGATTGCTACACGTATGTTCTTTAATTGATACAGAACATGAACTGATTCTCAATAAAAACATATAAGTCATGGAAATTTTACTCAATTAAGTTTCTAATCCAGTTGTACATCATTGATGAATTTTGAAGGAAAAACAAGAGTGTGAATATTGGAATCTCTAAAATTAGAGTTGGCAAAAAGTTCCGGGCACATGGAGACAAAGGAACATCATGGAGCTAGAAATTCCAATGAAGAAGAAGGCTGCCAACTTGATCTAACACAAACATCCTGGAGTAGTTGCTAATAAAAGAGAAGATATAGAATTATTTGCTTGGAATTTTGCTTAAAGTTGAACAACCTGAGAACTATTCAAAGTCTACCGGCAAGTGCCCATATAAGAAGAAGGATATATCACGAAATGAGCTATTTTCAAGGTTTGGCTAAACAATGTTGAAGAAATGGTACACCAGAGGATTTGATCACTAGAGGAGCTTTATAGAACATATAAGTTTGAAAAAAAAAAAAAAAAGGTAGTTTAGTCTTTTGTACAAGACCTTTGCCATGGAGGTGTGCTTACATGGCAAGTCAATCCGAATAAAATTGACTTATTTTGTTGTGCAGGAAGAGATCAAACGGGATTGTCCAGTTTCTCTTCTCCGATGTCGTGTATGTGCACATGCATGTGACTTACTCTAATTCTCTCTCATGCCACTTATAACATTGCAATCATGCAACCAAAGCATATACTAACATTCTATCCTGATGTAATTATTTTTACATGCACTATCTCCAATTTTTTTTCAAACAAGGTATTATTCAGAGATGTATTATTTTGTAAAAAAAAAAAAAAAAAAAAAAAAAAAAAAAAAAAAAAAAAAAAAAAAAAAAAAAGGAATGAGGCGAAAGAAAGGATAAACCCAAGAGTTGAGTTGTGAAGAAAAGAAAATAAAAATAAAAAATAAAAACCAAGCGTCTTCTTAGGACATAGTCCTATATATGTCCAGGGGGATGGGCTTAAGCCCTAAGGGAGTCACCTGCGGAGGTAACCCAACCTTCTTATTGGCGATTTAATCACATAACGAAAGGTTCAACGGGTAGAAACAATCTGCACTGCATGATTCATTGACAACACTACTTTATTAGGAGGTTTCTCGAGGAGATTCTTTCCTACTCATCCCTATGGCAACAGTGTTGTGATGTGACATTAAGGAAGGCTTTGCCCTGAATAAATTTGAGGCGAGCATACTCTTGCAGGGTATAGGTCACATATACCCTTGGAGGATTCACCTAAGTAAAAGTCGTTGTGAGGCCGCGACCGTGGGAGTTAGGCTGTTCCCTAAAGCTTTCATGAGAATCAAGATACCAGCGTATGGCCATTAATCGCACTAACCCGCCAAACCAAGTCTATCGTCAATACTATGTGTGTGGTATGTTAAATTTTGGCTCAAGGGAATGAATTCAAGACTTAATTCATTCAGGTTCCTCAAATGAAGACTATCACACTAAGTGTAAGTTCAAATCCAGAAAGCACCTACACTGATTGCATAGTATAAAGTTGCTCAATTATATTTTACTTATTTTATTAAAATAGGTGGGGATTGTTGTGTAATATTTTAATTAAATTAATAAATATATTAAATTATATATTAAGTTACATTATATTAAATACTATTTAATAAAATGGTTTATTATATTTATATTGATAAAATAATTATATTTAAATTCTCTATTTATGTTGCTATAACCACTACACTCCTTTATACTATAAAAAGGATTTATGTTTATCATTCTAAAGATCAAAGTATGGATACATATATCTAATGTGAGTGAGTCTCTAAAAAGAATAGTTTTTCATCTCTC